TTCTCAAAGCCATGAAAAAAAGCACATCGCACCGCCCCACCCCCTGAGTACGGCACGGCGCTTCAGGCACGGCCAGATTTGGCGCCACAACAACATCTTTCATGTGATGCGGAAAAACACGAGGCGCAGGCCTTGAAACGAATTTTTTAGTTTCCTTGGTCATTGCTTCCGGGGCCGCCGGTGTTAGAGAAGCGGCCGCGCATATGCTGATCGGCCGGGCGTGGGGCCTTCCCTGGCGCACAAACGGAAAGGGAGACGTGGTGGACCCCAAACGCTTAGGGATTGCCAATGCCCCCAGCCACGCCACAGAGCGTGGCGCATAAGTTCCCGCCAGAAATCAAATTGGCGAACGGTCTCAAAAACTTCCCCATCCTTTTAAACAATTCGTAAAGCGCGTTGTTGGGATCGAAAGCAAACCAAGCAGCAATGCGAATGCGGGCCAATTCTGCTGGGGAAGAAAGGAGGACTATAATGCAAAGTTTCTGAAATTTTGCAGCGTGGCACGACCCTAAAAGCCTGCGAGAAAGCAATTACTATTTTTCAATAGCAGGCCTCCGACTGACTGAAGGCAGAGCTGTTCAGTACGCGGGGCCGTTTCTTACCACGCTGGCGCCGGGGCCGACGCCCGCACCAATGCTTTAAGCCGGCTCACGCCAAACCGCAAAAAACAAGCGCGGCCCAAGACGGAAATGGGAATTGAACCCGGCTAACGCAGCAATGCTGTCGGATCAGTTCCCGTCGGGTGTGCGACAGGCGCGGGTCACCGCCGGCCGTTGGGGAGAAAAAAGCGCTGCACCCAAAAAAAAAACAGGTTTTTCTTCCACATCCACACGGCATGGCTGACCCAATGGTGGGTTTGGGGGGCTTTTCAAGAGCTCTTCCGGAAGAACCCGCAAAGACCAGCAACACACATGCCGCCACCAGAGGGGAAGGCGTAGACGGCCCCAAAAGGGCATGGAATTCAACAGAAAGCTAACCACTGTCATGGCAAGGGCAGTGAAAAGCATCCTTCGGCCGTGCGGCATAGCCCCGTGCCCTATAAGAAGAGAGGCCTCGACCCACGCGGCAGCAGTCGTTGTTGAGTGTCTTTCTTGGCCTCCGCCTTCCGAATATAGTTGGAGGAGGCGCATGGATCCGCTGGAATTCCCCTAAGGCTTGGTTTGTTACTTCGACCATTGGGTCGGGACCAATGAAACAACGAGGCAGCGGCCATTGCTGGAGGAGGCAAAGTGCGGAAATGCATGACATTACCTTCGAGGCAAAAGTAAGCTAAGAGAGATGCTGCCAAAACTATTGCGCAATGGTACAGCACTGCGTGGGGAACGTATTGCGCTAGCGCCTCACTTCGGGAATGAAAGGACCGTTCGCTATTAGAACGCATTTGTATGCGGGTGGATTAGACACCGTCTGAAACTAGAAACCAGAGAGCGTTTGGATGAGACGTGGAACATCGCGCGATGATCAACTAGTTCGAAGCGGAAAGAAAGCGAATTAAATTTTTGGAATACACACAGCGGTGCCCTTCTGATATAAAAAGCAAGCATTATCCAGGCAGCCTTGGAATAACCGTAAATATGGATAGGTTTTACCCATTGCCGCGGTAGAATATAAGCCGACACGAGGACGGCGCTTCGTTCGGCCCAAGGGGGAGAAGGAACCCAGGACGATTCCGAGGCAGACCCCCCCCCTCGGGGCCATATATCGCATCAACTGGGCACAGTTTACCTCGACGTGGTCGCTTTATTTACCGTGAGGCCTCCTTCTTTCATACCGACCCATCGGCAGACATACAGGCAGGTTTCTGGTGCGGGAGGGGGTTCGAGAAACCCGATAAGCCCACCTGCCCCCCAACAGGGGTACAGGCGCAACCCCGAAATCCCACACACCATCAGAAGGGATAACGCAGGACACCCCGGAATGGTAGGACCGAAGTTTTTGGCCCCATCAAGGTCTGCAGATTCATCTGGGGATATCTTGCATGGGCAAACGTGGCGGGAAATACGCCGGTATGGTGCTCTGTTTGGGTGGGGGCGGGCTGCCGCGCCATCAGCAGTATCATCCGCACCAAGTTACTGCTTAGTGGAAATGTGGAGTAGAATCCCGGACCCACCTTGAGGTGCATACAATGGAGCTCAGCTGGGCTAACGCAAGCCAAACACCTAGCCTTGGGCAAACAGCTTTACGAGGATAACATCGCGTTTTGTTTATTGAGTGAGTAGAAAATGTCCCCCACATCTGAAGCAACTAGCGTCGGACTCTCTGGGAACCAGCATTATGGGATAGCTCGCACCTGCCGTGGCGAAGGTGAATCAATCCTCATCAGAGATGGGATACAAGGAAACCCTGCTGCAACTAAGATCACTCCAGAAGACCTCAATAGACTCAACAACACGGACATACCACAGCTTATTGGTTCAGATGTCAATGCACACGCATTGGCATGGGACAACGAAGTCCCGCCTGACTCTCGAGGTGATACCATCGTGCAATGGTGCATTGA